AATCGAGCTTCCAAAGCACATGCAAAAACACACGGTTTCGTAACACTGATTTGCTAAAAAAAAAACTTGTGGGCACTTGCGACATCTTACAAAAAACCATTGGTTTTTCAAGATTTTCATCAAATGCTATTAAACGGGCTTCGCGCGCGCATGTCGAAATCTGTCGAACGCCCTTGCGCGTGTGCCGTCGCGAGAATCCTCTGCAAAAAACGGGACGAAGTGCAAACGCGCGCGTCGTCGCGCGCGTATGCCGAAATCCATCAAAACCCATCGGTTTCGGAAGAAGTTCAAAATCGTGTGCCCCAAAAACCTACAAAAAACAAGGTTTCGCAACACGGATTTTCAACAAAAGCGTGCGCGCGCGCTCTTGCGTCGTCGTCGTCGTCGCCGTCGTCGCCGTCTTCCCTCCTCCCGCGTCGTCGTCGTCGTCGTCGCCTACGTCGTCCTCTGTCTTTTCTCGCGTTCGTCGTCGTCGTCCTCTTTGGCGTCGTGGTCGTTTCCGTCGTCGTTGTCGCCGTGGCCGTCCTTCCTCCTCCTCCCTCGTCGTCGTCGTCGTCCGTCGTCGGCGTCTCGTCGTCGTCCTTCCTATTTCGTCGCCGTCGTCGTCGTCGTCGTCGTCGTCTTCCCTCCTCCCTCGTCGTTGTCGTCGTCGGTGTCGCCGTCCTTCCTCCTTTTTCGTCGTTCGCGTCGTCGCCGTCCTCCCTCCTCCCTCGTCGTTGTCGTCGTTGTCGTCGTTGTCACCGTCGTCGTCCTTCCTCCTCCCTCGTCGCTGTCTTCGTTGGCGTCGTCGTCGTCGTCTTCGTCGTCGTCGTCGTCGGCGTCGTTGTCGTCGTCGAAATCGTCGGAGACGTCGTCGGTGTCGTCGTAGTCGTTGTCGTCGTAGTCGGTCTTAAGAGGTTGTGCAAACCAAGTTGCTGGTGGGTGGGTGGGATGTTTGCAAGAGCGTGGGATGTGTCAAATCATGTGTAAAAATCAACGTATACTGCACCACAGATGCTGCACCACGTGCATTGCGTCACGTATATGGCTATTGCACAGCGTGGATTGTACCACGTATATTTGCACTACGCACACTGCACCACGTCGATTGCATCACGTACACTGGGCCACATCTATTATCATGTTTTTTTTTTTTTTTTTTTTTGAGAAAAAAGGACTCAACCCTACTCCCGGGGAGTATCGGCACCCCTGTTCGTATTCCAATGTACACATGATTCTGCACCACCGTCCATCCTAAATATGAACTCGTACCATCCCAGCCGCTGGTCCCAGCCCAACCAATATCACCCCCCACCCGCCACCCTTTGCAAAATACGTCATGTGCGCAAACTCGTGTATCACAAAATAACAGTTTCCAGAAATCCTTAGCAACAGAGATATGACGAGGTGCACGCGCGCGCGTCGTCGCGCGCACATGCCGGAATTCTTCAACAACCGTCGGTTGTGTAAGGGTTCAAAAACCGACTGTCCGAAAACATATAAAAACACAAGGTTTCGCAACACGGATTGCCAACATAGTAAAAACGTGCGCGAGCGATGTTGCGAATTCTGAAGCAAACCATACGTTTTTCAATACATTCGTGAACTGCTACCAAACAGGCTTCGCGCGCGCATGTCGGAATCGTTCGAACGCCTTTTGCGCGCGTGCTGGGGTGGCAAAGCCTGCGTCAAATAATATCATGCGGGCCATTCTCGCGCGTCTGCCGCGCGCGCATGTCGAACTCCGCCAAACACCTCCAGCACCGACGCGAAGACGCCGTCATCGTCCTCGGCGTGATCAACATCGGCGCCGTCACTGGGTGCCCCGTCGTCTATGTCAGCATCGCCGCCAACATCGCTACTATCACCATTGTGTTTACATTTGTCGACGTTGCCATGATACCGCGCCCACCCAAGTCGCCGACTCGCACTGAAGTGCGCGCTGGGGTGTGCCGAGCGGTCAGCGCCACCGCGCTCGCGACGGTCGCACCAAACTAGCTGGCCTCTGCGCGCGCGAACATGATTGGGTAACTGCGGCCGCAGAGATGCACCCACCAACACCCAACACACCTTGCAACCGTTCGCGAATGGGTTTTGCAGAACAAGTTGCAGGTGGGTGGGTGGGATGATTGCGCGGGCAGTGGATGTCGACAACTTCAAGTTCGGCAAGAGATTCTCTCTTTTTTATATAAAACTCCCCGACTTAAAAGTTCTCCTTTTCGTGTTGCGATGTGCTCACGCTACCCCAGGGGGAGAGGTACCGCCCCCCGCCCCCGCCATCCTCTGCAAATGCCTGATATGCACGCGCACCCGTTTATCACAAATCATAAGTTCCCAAAAACCCTGGACAACACAACGAAACGAAGTGCACACGCGCGCGTCGTCGCGCGCGCATGCCGACATCCTTCAAGAACCTTTGATTTCGGACGGATTTCAAAATCGAGTGCCCAAAAAACATGTAAAGCCACATGGCTTCGCAACACGACTGTTCAAACAAGAAAAAACATGCGCGCGCTCCTGCGAATTCCTAAGAAAACGATCGGTTTTTCTACAAGCTCACACCATACTGCCAAACGGGCTTCGCGCGCGCATGCCGAAATCGTTCGAACGCCCTTGCGCGCGTGCCGTCACGAGAATCCTCAACAAACAACGAGACGAAGTGAGCGCGCGCGCGCGCGTGGTCGCGCGCGCATGCCAAAATACTTCAACACTCTTCGGTTCCGGAAGGGTTTCAAAACCGAGTGTCCAACAAACATGTAAAACACATGGTCGCGCAACACGAATGTTCAACACAAGAGTGCGCGCGCCGTTGCGAATTCTTCAGCAAATTCTGTGTTTTTTTCAACACTTTCATAAACTGCTATCAAGCGGGCTTCGCGCGCGCGTGTCGAAATCGTTCGAACGCCCTCGCGCGCGTGCTGGGGTGGCACGGTCCGTGTCAAATGATACCATGAAAGCCACTCTCGCGCGTCTGCCGCGCGCACATTTCGAATTCCTTCCAAGACCACCATCACCGACGCGAAGACGCCGTCATCGTCGCCGGCGCGATCAGCATCGGCGCCGTCACTGGCTGCCCCGTCGTCTCTGTCAGCATCACCACCAGTATCGCTACTATCACCATCGTGATAACCGTTGTCGGCGCTGCCATGATACGGCGCCCGCCCAAGTCGCAGACTCGCCCTGAAGTGCCCGCTGGGATGTGCCGAGCGGTCAGCGCCACAGCGGTCGTGTCGGGCGCGCCAAACTAGCTGGCCGCTGCGCACGCGATGCGCGGGCTAGCGCGGCCGCAGAGATGCACCAGCCAACACCAAGCACTCATCGCAATCACTTCCACATGGGGGTTGCAAACCAACTTGCGGGTGGGTGGGTGGGATGTTTGCGCAAGCAGTGGAGTGGACAACTTCAAGTTGAGCATTGATGGTTTATTGCGCCATACATATTGCACCACGCAGGTTGCACCACGTAGCTTGTACCACGTCGTATGCTAGAACCACTTTGTGGGGTTCACGATGGCTAACATGTGATGGTGAGGTGAACTGGCTACGGAGGAACCCTCTGATGATGAGGAAGGGGGGGGGCAACGAGGAAGAAACACATAATGACGTGGAGGCGGCGGAGGAGGCGGAGGAGGAGGAGAGGATGTAAAAATACGAAGAATCCAAAGGACGAGACGGATGATCAAGGACAAGGACGGGAATATGGTGGCGCGAAGGGGGAGGAAGCAAGTGCAGGACGACGAGCAGGAGAATGACGAACAGAGCGAGAGTGCTGGAGGAGACGGAGAGGATTGGGGGCCAGGCTGATGAGATAGGGGATGGGTGAGAAGATGAGGAAGATGAGGAGGATGACAGGAATACCAGTGATGAGGATAAGGGCGTGGAGCACGAGGAGGGGAAGCATAGCTAATCAGGAACATGAGGACGGCGGTAATTAAGGACATTGACGAGTAGGACGACGCTGGCGATGAGAAGGTGCCAGAAGGAGAGGGGTGGCGATGACAGGGAGGAGGAGGGAGGAGGCAGAAAGAGAGGAGAAAGAGAGGGAGGAGAAGAGAGGGAGAGGAAGAGAAGGAGGCGAGAGGGAGAGGGAGGAGAGAAGGGGAGAAAAAGAGAGAGGGAGACAGAGGCAGGGAGGAAGGAGGGCACGATGTTGGGAGCGAGAAGAGAAAATGACGGTGGTTTGAGAAGATCTGGAGGGGTGTGAGGAGGAAGACCGTGCCTGGGCTGTCTGGGATGCAGCAGCGACAAGGAGGGTGGAAGGGCGGACCAGCAAAAAGACCCCCTTTTCGGAGAACCATCAGATACGGATGCCGATGCTCCCGGGACACCTCCTGGGGCGAGCTCTGACCAGGACTCCAACGCGATTCTAGCCGTGGCGGCAAGGGAAGGGCAGCAGCATCGGCACCTCTCCTCTCGCCATCGCTCGGACACGTCCAATCCCCGTGCGTTTTCCGATCTCGTGTGCGTGTTCATTCGCACGACGCTCCAAGATACTCCATGCCGAGGAAAACGTGCACCCGTCCGAGCGATGCCGAGTCCTCCGCTGGGAAGCGTGAACGAGGAAAAACTGGCCCCCCTGGACTTCTCGCCCGCCGGCCTCGGACTCCGTCGTCCGCCGCTGCACCGGCTGGGCGGCTGGCCGCTGTCTGGGACTCACCGACCCGGGTCAGTGAGAACCCGGGCCAGTCAGGGTCTGCAGGAGCCCGCAAAATCCTGCAGGATCCTGCACCCAAGCCCGGGTCAGTGCGACCCTGGCCCTGCAGGATCCTGCAAGACCCGTCGCTCTGACTGACCCCCGTTTGCATTGACCCTCGCCTCTCGAGTCCCGAGGCCCAGACCCCCGACGTCATGAAATGTTCATAACGTCGACCCCCAGAGGTCTCGACCCATTCCCCGGGACTGGTTTTTCGTTCCGAGTCGTTTTTTAACGGCCCCGAGGCCCACTGAGAGCCCCCAGAGGCTGAAAATAGCGACGCATCTTTCGTCGTGATTTTCTCGCAGCGCGAGGGGGTCCAGGGGCACTCTGCGCTGGCGGCGGCGCCAACGCCGCACACCGCCAAAACGCCACTTGGTCTGCGAGCGCCGATCCGCCCGGTGCGGCTCGCCGAGGCGGGTCGCCCTCGAGGCCTGCTCCTGGCGGGAGGGCGCCAACGGTGCACCGAAAGGTACGGTTAGGTCGGGCATGTCCCCCTACAGGCGGATTCTGGGGCGAAACATGAAAAAGGCCACCAAAAATGATCAAACATAGCAAAACTCGGGCATGGACAGACCCCACTTTAGTAAAACGTGGTTTAGTGAAAACGACCCGAGGCCCAAACCTGGCGGGCGCAAACCTGGAAAATAACGGCCACGGCGCCCTCTCGAGAACCGAAAACGGACAATTCACTAATCGACGTGTCACTGTTGGGGGTTCTGTCCACCCCCGGAAAACATAGTTAATACATCGTCCCCAGACTATGTTTGAAACTATGTTTGAATCTTCCTCCTGGTGAGGGACAGGCCCGACTCAAAGGCACGGATCGCGGCCGGGCCCATCCTGGGCCCGAGGTCGATCTTTGGCATAGGGACACGGACACCAACACCAAAAACGGGGGGTCGCGTTCACCGGGAGAGCATGATCCTAGATTTTGGCGCTGGTGGTACAGTCAAAAACCCTAATAAGGACGCGCGGTAAGGACGCAAGACCCTTGGAAGCCGAAGTTGGGATTTTTGGTGCGGCGGACGACGAAAACCTCAAGGACGCAAGAGCAAGGAAGAGCAAGGACGCAAGGGTAACCTGAGCAAAGTCGCGCGTCCTTATTAGGGTTTTTGACTCTAATATGTCGGGCACCTGGGGGGCCCAAATATGATCACCACTGCCGAGATTGGGATCAACTTCGCTCGGTGGAGGAGGCACGCTGCCGATCACGGTGTTGATGCTACCCTCTGGGCCTCCGAGATCTGCACGTATAGGCGAGCGTTTTCTTACTCGGCGTTTCGACTTGGGCGGAAGGGGGGGGCGAGGGAGGGGGTCTGGCTCCGGATCCCTGCCTGGTGCGACTGTTTGCAACAGGGCGTCCATTATGGGGGAGACTCCACTTGCTCGAGAAAGGCGCCCAAAACAGCCAAGATCTAACTACTTCATGGGGGGGGAGGGGGGGCGCGAGGGCCCGTGGCGATAGGCAATACAATGAATAAGAAAACGATCACTAGGTACAACTACGTTTGCTCATTTGCTCAAAACACTTCATCATATAGGTATACACACCACGGCCTCCAATACCTTTGTATGCACAGAAACATACCTAGATACGTACATGTACACTGATGAACAATTTGCGACATGTAGTAGTACATCTCTACATGCATATGCACGCCACTGTGCCGCGAGGCACTGAAGGGGGTGTTCTCTTTTCCTCCAGAGTCCTCAGTTCTGGATATTGAATGCTCTTGTATGGACCGCGAGGCCCACGTCCTGGATTTCCCGGGGCTGCTCGCGTGTCCCCGCGTGCTTTCAGGGGGTTCTCGCATGACCAGTCATAAAGCCCCAACAAAACAACGGGCCTAGAGGACCCAAAGGGGACCTAAGGACGATCCAAGAGGCCCCCGAGACGGCCAACGAGAGCGCCAAGACGGCCTCCAGACAACCCAAGAGGCCCCCAAGACGCCCCGAGAGGGTCCCAAGAGGACCCCCAAGAGGATCATTGATGTCCCGTATGTGTTGGAAGTGTCTTGGCATTCTCGCCTTTTCGGGGTTCCAATGTGCCCCCCAAATCGCCCCAAGACTGCTCCAAAGGGGCCTCAGACGTCCTAAGAGGCTCTCAAGACGGCCGGGAGCCCCCGAAGAGGGGCCCAAGAAGGGGACAGCGAAGTGGTCTTGAGAATATCCCCCTCCAAGATAGCCTCCAAGACCCCAACATGTCCGTAAGAGCCCTCCGGAAGTGCCCAAGAGGCCCCCAACAGCCCCCCCAAGGGGCCTCCAAAAGGCCTCCCAGAGGCCCCGAAGAAGCCCCAACGGCCCCCTCAAGAGGCCTCCGACGGGCAGAAGGGCACCCCAACAGACACCTACAGGCATGCAAGAGGCCTCTGGCCCACAACCCAGGCACGCTGGCGGGATGGGCCGACGGCCACTCTGTGTCCGCGCGCCCCCTGTGTTTATCACAGGGGCGCTTGGGGTGCCAAGCCAGCCCAACCGCCGGCGACACGGGCAGATCCCATCCCACCGTTTTTGTCCATCTAAGATGGCGGAACGATGGCATCCAAGAAAGCTCAGATGGTCCCAGATTGCCTCCACGACTGTCAAAATTGCCCAACATGGCCTCCAAGACGGATAAGATGGCACCAAGTCGCCCCGAGAGGATTCCAAGACGGCCCAACAGGCTCCTAAGGAGCCCCCGCGGCGGCCCAAGAGGGGTCCAAGACGACCTCAGGGAGGCCGGAATCACTGTTTCCTCCACGTTCTCAGAAGAACTTCGCGTTCTCGCCTTGTCGGGCTTCCGACGCTCCAAGACGACCCCATTGGCCCCCAAGATCACAAAGAGGCCCGCAAGACGGCCCAAGAAGACTCCAAGACGCCCGCGAGGCCCCCAGGGCGGCCCCCTCCGACGTGGCCCCAACGCGCTCCAGCAGGGATCCACGACTGGCCAGAGAGGTCCCGACGACTGCCTCCGAAGGCCAACGAGGTCCCGTGCAGGCGCCAAGAGACCCCGAGGAGGCAGGCCCCAAAGAGGCCCCATGGGGCCGCTAGGAGACCCGCAAAGGCCCCCAACACATGTTTTTTGTTTGATCCGCGGGTCGAGAGCGCACCTCTTCGGGTCGAAGCTAAGCGGGCCGCGCACAGCTTTGATTGACGGAGTGGGGGAGGCGGACAGAAGGCTCCCAACACAAACAGCACTAGTTACATATTATCTTGCCACACGGCTTGCGCCGCAGAGCTTGCACCACCGATCTTGCACCGCATAGCCTGCACCATACAGCTGGCTGGCACCACAAAGCTTGCACCACACAGCTTGAACCACTCGCGCCCTAAAGCTTGCACCGCACACGGTACACCAAACAGCTTCAACCACATAACCTACAACACATAGCTAACGAATACATAATGCAATGACCCACTGCTTGGGATCCACACTTCTCCTTACGGCGGCCGAGTGAAGTCACTGCAGCGAGAGTTGAGGCGGGGCACGCCTTGCGTCTTTCACACCTGGCGTTGCGGACGGGGGACTGCGCAAGGCGAGTCGCGTGCAGAACAGGACGCGGTTACGCTTGGAGAGCGCCCTTACAATGGAAGGCGCAGACCCAAGTGTGCAGCGTGTGGGTGAGAAAGCCCGGACTCGAAATAGGAAACGTGTGGCCGAGCAGCCCACTCCCAACGGAACTCGACCAGAGCGGACCTCGACCCGGCCCGTGACCCATCCGCGACCCGGTCGCGGGTGGGTCGCGGGTCAGGTCGCGGGGGTGACGACGACAACAACAACAATCTCTTTAAGACTGTTCGTTCTTATCTGCTCGCGTGCCATTCAACACGTATATCCTGAACCCTCGATACCAGCCCTCTTCGTCTTTGATCGTACCCCCTTAGGGGCTTATCTTTCTTACCTGCAACGTGTATTTCGTGCAGCCTGTAAGACAGGGGAAGAGAGGACGGATGGAAGGAAGGGACAAGGGACAGGCGGGCTGCTGAAACGTGAGTCCTGCAAGAATCGCGAGGAAGTCTCGAGCGATAACGCGATTGCCAAATAAATCGCGCGGAAACTCACAAAGAGAGCGTGATTCCTCAATGTCGCGGGCGCGGCGTCCGCAGAAATTGGGCGGAACTCCCACGCGAGATCGCGATTCCTGTATAAAGTCCGCAGAAGTCCCGCGCGAGAGCGCGGTTCGGTAATACATTGTGAGGAGGTATCAGGCTGGACCCGTCGTTGCTGTAAACCAGGGGCCAGGGGAATAATTTGGTGTCACCATAGTTTCGCTTGCAGAAGACCAAGTGCAGAAACACTTTAATTGAAAAATGCAATGGTTACCGGAGGGGGAGAATCAAATAAGAATTCAACAACAAGAACAACAATAATCTTAATACTGATCGATCTTAACAGCTAGCATGCCATATTGTGCAAACTGTGTGGTGTCAGCTATGTTGAGTGAGCTATGTGTAGGCTGAGGGGTGAACGTTGAATGAGAATAACCAGTGTGTATCAACTATGCGACGTAAGCCATGTCGGTTGAGTTTTGCTGTGTGGAAAATCTGACAAGTCTACATTGCGTAAGCCGTGCACTGTACGTCATGGGTTCTGAGCTATGTGGTGTGAGATAGGTGATGCCGGCTATGCAGTGTGAGCTATGTGGAGCAAGCATTGTTACGTAATCTTGGTGGTATGACCTAGAAGGTGTAAGCTAGGCGGTGCGAGCTATGTGGGGCAAGCTAAGTTGTGTAAGATACGTGGTTTGCGCTATGCGGTGTGAGCTATGCGTCGAAAGCTGTGGTGTAAGCAATGCTGTGTACGTTACGTGGTGCGAGAACTATGTGGTGTAAGCTATACTGTATAAGCTACCCAATATAAACTATGATATAAACTAGACGGTGTGAGCTATGCGGTGTGAGACATGATGTGTCAACCACGGTGAGGGCAGTGGATGAGAACCCTTCGATCGGGAATCCAGGGTCTGAAAGCCGGAGACTACCGATTGAGGCTTGGCCACGGCTATCACCGCCGCCCTGAGCAGCTAAGGGATCCGCCAGGGTCTGGAGTCTCTTGGGCACATTCCTGAACGAACGTCCCCGCCGTACGTGGTGCGAGCTATGCGTGTGGGTCAGGCTGAAGTCGGGCCTGCCCCTCTACAGGGGGAATATTCAAAAACAGTAAAAAATAGCCTGGGGACGATTCTGGAGTATTTTTGACCATCTTTGAGTATTTTTTGGGTCTTCTGTATTTTCCGTCGAAAATCCCCCTGTAGGGGGACGCGCCCGACTTCGAGTTGGGCGGTGCGAGCCATGCGTCGCCCACGAGGCGACCACGAGCGGGCACGCGCCCCCAGCGCACGGGGCGCCCGCGAGGCGCCCAGCAGCGGGGGCGGGCGCCGGCGAGGCGACAACCCCGGGTCACCCAGACAACTGCTCAGAGCACCTCGTGATAACCACCGGAGCAAGCACAAGTTCTGGAATCTGGATTGATTCCCCCCTTCTCCCCCTCTCCGTCTGCTTCCCTCTTCCCCAACCAACCACCCTCCCTCTCTCTTTCTCTCTCTCTATGTATATATAAATGTCTTTTGTGACTGGTTTCTTTATTTGTTCTTCTCTCTTTCTCTCTCCCGTTCTCTTTTTTTTTCTCTCTCTCTCTCTCTCTCTCCCTCTCTCTTTCCTTCTCCAGCGCAACTGGCGAATCGCCGCGAACGCCACCACAGGGCAGGCAATGACAGAGCATTCCCGAAGGCCGCAATTACTAATCTGGTAAAATCCGCCATCATGCCTCCTGGCACGTCGAGACGTGGAAGAATGCCAAGTCTGTACTCTTCAATGCCGCCCACCCTCTGTACTCGCAGACAAGCGCGTGCATTGCGCCACCTTCCAATGCCATAATCACCTGTGGCAGAAACTATGGGTGCGCGCTATCGAGACCACGCCACGGTCCCTCTGGGTCTGCGCTCCCACGCATCCAAGGACGCCAAGATGCTCCAATATACCTCCAAGGCGGCCCAATAAGGCCCCAAGGCGGCCCAATATTGCCTCAAGACGGCCCAAGATGCCCCCCCCCAAGAGGGTCACAAAATGACTCCCAACAGGGTCCGTAGAGGCCCAAACCGCAATTCTAACAATGTGTTTAAAGAAATGGTCGCACTCTCCCGTTTTCGGGCTTCCGTCAGCTCAAGACAGCCCAAGAAGCTTGCAAGATGGCCCCGAAACGGCCCAAGAGGCCCCCGAGAGGACACCCAAGACGGCCCAAGAAAACACCATGACGGCCCAAATGACCTGCAAAATGGTCCCAAAACGGCCCAGACGGGCACCCGGAGAGCACCCAGACGGCCGTGGAGGGCGCCAAGACGGCCCCACGACAGCCCCAAGACAATCCCCATACGGCAAAGAGGGCCCAGCAACGACTCCGGAGAGCCGCATGGCGGGCCCAAGACGGCCCCAAGACGGCCCCGAGGGACCACCAAGACTCCCCAGCCATAGCCCAAACCAACCCCAAGACGGCCTAGCTGAGTTCCGTGAGAGCTCCTCAAGAAGTGACGACGAAAGGTGTCATATGTGATAGCCTTCCTCGTCATGCTTCTCCTGCTCCTCCTCTCCTTCGACATCGCCATCATCATCGCCGTCGTCTTCCACATCATCATCCGCATCATCACCACCACTATCATCATCGTCGTCGTCGGCGGCGTGATCATCATCATCATCATCCTCATCATCATCATCATCATCATCATCATCATCATCATCATCATCATCATCATCATCATCCTCATCCTCATCCTCATCCTCATCCTCATCAACATCAACATAATCATCATGATCATGATCATGATCATGATCAAATCCCCCACACTTATCATCATCATCATTTCTGCCATCATAATTCGACACCCTAGTCCTCCAACCGATCAGCCGCACCATCATCAGAGTCAGCATCATCACGCTCATCAGAGTCATCGTCAGTATCATCGTCACCATCATCAATCATCATCATCGCCATCGTCCTTTTCATCACCGTCACCATCATGATCATCCGTACCAGCATCGTTGCCCTTGTCATTGTAACCATCAGCCTCACCACTATGGTAATCATCACCATGATCATGACCATGACCGTGACCATGACCATCATCAGCATCATCATCATCATCATCATCGTCATCGACAACGTCACCACTACTACCATCATCATTATGATCATCACCACCGTCATGATCACCATCAACATCATCGCCACCCGAACCATCATCATAAGCATCAACACCAGCACCATCCGCACCACCACGACAGCGCTCCCAGGCTCGGGGACACAAGGCGTCACGCGCGACGACCTCCCTACCCCCATCGGGCAGGCGCAACCCAGAATGCAAGGCTGGCAGGGTGGCAGGACTTGCCGCAGGCGACACGATATTGGACCTGCTCACTTCACTGGTTGATGCGCAGCAACTCCACGTCGAAGACCAGGTCCGCGTTCGGAGGTATGGCATCGCCCGCGCCCCGCTGGCCGTAGCCCATGGCCGCGGGTATCCGAAGCTCCGCGCGCTCACCGAGCGACATCCTCATGACCCCGACGTCCCACCCTGGGATCACCATGCCGACACCGATAGTGAAGCTGAACGGCTCGTTGCGATCGCGGCTGGAGTCGAACTTCTGGCCGTTCGAGGCCAGCGTGCCCGTGTAGTGCATCGTCAACTTGTCGCCCGCCTTGGGGAACGTCTTGCCGTCCCCGGGCGAGAGGGTCACGACCTCCAGGTCGTCGGCCCCAGGCGGGGCCGCCCCTGGCGGCCGGACCTCCACCACGGTGAAGCTCATGGTCAGGTCCTCTCCTAGAGGCCTCCCACATGGGGTCCGAGTAAACGAGGTCGGAAGATCGCGCCGCATCGCCGATGCATCGCCGATGTATCAGCGACCTCTCGTCGGCGTGTAGAAAGAGGGAGTTCCGCCTCGAGCTGCATCGCAGATGCGTTGGAGATGCGGCGCGATCCTTCGATCCCATCTGCCCGGACCTCGTGTTGTGAGGCCCGGGTCTCCAGCCCAGGGGTGGTTGAAGTCCAGGGTTGCTTCGGTCTCGCCGATCTTGGCCACGAACGCCTGCATCGGACCGCGCGGCCCCTGCACGGTCAGCTGCGACCCGGGCACCACGGCGGGCGGGAGCTTCTCGACGGGGATCGTGGCTACCTTCTCTGGGTTCCTCTCGCCGAACGCGTCGCCAATGGGCACCGACTTGGCGTCGCCGGGGGCCATGCCCACGACGGCCACCTCCAGCTGCGGCATGACCTGCTGCGTCCCGACGACGAAGTCCATCATGCCCTTGCCGTCGGACGAGTCCAGCACCGCCCCGTCCCTGTCCCGGGTCGTCTTGAAGGTGAGGTACACGCGCGAACCCTCCTCTCGGCTGCACGCAAGAGCGACCCTGGGTAAGAGTGACCTCTGGTGCGCGGCACTCGGGGGGCGCGGGGGGGCCAAACCCGAGCGCGCAAGCCGCTGATGCCGCAGCGCATTCGGCGATCGGGGGACCAGTTTGGGCCCGCACCAAAAGTCACTCCGGCGAAAGGCCACTGCTACGTCTGGCCGATCCTCCACCGTCTCCGCCGCCACACGCCGGGCCACGCCGCGCGCGCCCCGGGCGAGCCCGGGCCCGGCGCGGGCGCCGCTCGCAGAAGAAGGACAGGCCGCCGCAGACAGAGACCTCTGGCGCTCCGCGCGGAGTTCTTGGATCCGCGCCGGGCCCCCCCCGCCCCTGGCGCGCGGAGCGCGCCGAGGGGCGGCGCCGGAGGCGCCGCCAGGCGGGCCCAGGGGCGGATGCCAGAGATCCGCGCGGAGTGCCACGAGTTCATGTTTGTGGCGCTTTGTCTTCTTGGAGCTCGAGCCCCGCGGCGGAGCGGCGCGGGGGAGGAGGCTGAGGGGCCGATGTCCCACCACCACTACCACAGGTTGGAGGGTGAGGGCGGAGGAGGAGGGTGAGGACGGAGGAGGGTGAGGGAGGAGGAGGAGGGTGAGGACGGAGGAGGAGGGTGAGGACGGAGGAAGAGGAGGTTGGAGGGTGAGGACGGAGGAGGAGGGTGAGGGAGGAGGATGAGGAAGAGGACCTCCCCTCCTCCCCCTCTTCCCCTGTCACCCGTCCTACCTATGGTAATTAGAGGCGTCGGGGTAGATGGGGTCGAAGGATCTCGCCGCATCTCCGAGACATCGGCGATGCATCGGCGATGCATCGGCCATGCATCGGCCATGCACTGGCGACTTCGGCAATGCGTAGGCGGCGTCGGCGCGGAGACAATTAGGGACCACGTCGAGCCGCATCGTTGATGCATCGCGATCCTCCGACTCCATACGCTCCGACCCCATGTAGGAGGCCTAGAATAGTGGTGGTGGAAAAGGAGGAGGAGGAGGAGGAGGAGGAGGAGGAGGAGGAGGAGGAGGAGGAGGAGGAGGCGGAGTAGGAGGAGGGACCTCCCCTCCTCCCCCTCACTCCCCTCCTCCCCGTCCTGCCTGTGGCCCAGTCGTGGTGGCACACCTGGGCCCCTCAGGAAGCCGAAGCCCGCGGCCACCGCGCCGCCGGCCCACGCGCACCCCGCGCCCAGCAGCGCGGCGGCCGCCACCGCCGCCCGGGCCCGCGCCGCCCGGCAGGCGCGCCGGCCTGGCGGCGGCCGCGCGCATGGCGCGGCGGGCAGGGCCGGCGCGCGGGCGAGCGCCGCGGCCGCGGGCGCGCCGCCGGGCGCTGCGGCCCTCCCCCCCCCCCCCTCGCGTCGTGAAGGAGTGGCGACGGGGAGGTTGTTGACCCTGTGCTCGGCCTCGGGGGGCCCTCGCCGGGCCTCGGGGCCGTCCACGAGACGGCGCAGGAGGAGACGGCGGTCCTGGGAGGGGGCTCGAGAGACCTCTGCCTCCTGTGAGGCCCTCGGCGCCACGCTTGAAATTCTAGTCAGGCCGCCCAGGAGAGGTCTGGCGAGTTGGCATCCATGATCCCAGATCTCTGACAATATGATTCTTCAACCAGCGGTTTGTTTCTGGATTTCGACCCCTGGGCTTGTTATCCGGCTGACGGGGGGTCTACGCTGTGGAAAAATCACGACGTCGGGGGTCTGGGCCCGATGTCGGCTGGGCTGGGCCCTGAGCCGAAATGGCTGCCCGTCGTTCGGAAGAAGCTGGTGGGCGCGCGAGGTCGGAAGGCGCTGCAAGCAGACCGGGCTTCCGCCCGCCCCCTGCTAAGGGAGGGAAAGGGAGAAACGTCCGAGGATCGGATCTTGGAGTGAAGAAATCTGCCGACCCTGTCGGCGCGTGGAAGAGGCTGTTCCGTTTAACTCGTCGTCGTCGTGGTCGTGGTCGTCGTCGTCGTCGTGGTCGTTGTCGTCATCGTCGTCGTCGCCCTCATCGCCTTCGGGGGGGCACCCAGATACGACTCCCCCCTGGGCGGTTCGAGGGTCCAGAAAAGCTCCAAGAACGCAAAAGTGCCCCAAGGTGCCCCCAAAACGGTGCTCGAGGGTCCCGAATCGCAGAAAAATCTGGCCAAGTCGCCAAAGTAGCTTTCAGACGGCTCAAAAGGTTTGCAGACCACACCAAGAGGCCTCCAACAGGACTTCCAAGAGGGCCCAAAGAGGCAAACATCATTGAATTTCCGCTGCGTCGCTGACATCGTGCGACACGGCTGGGACGAAGAGAAACAAAAACGAGGACGAAAGAGAGCGGCCATCGTAGTTGCCAAATACAGCTGCCAGAAACCTTATAGAATCACCCGTCCAGGGCGACCGACACGATTTGCCATCATTGTCTCATGAAGAAACGCAGCTAGCAGCAAACGCGTGGATCATCTGCTCCAGATGAGGATTCGTGCCAACACGAAACACGCGTCGGACCATCGTGGGGGCGATGAGAAAATACTCGAATAGATCTGGCAAAATTGGTGGGTGCGGCGAGATCTATGGGGCAAACAAACCTACCTCGCTTTCGACCACCCTCGCTTTCAAGAGATACCAAGCGATGCCAAACTACGGCCTGTAATGGTCAGGCCGCTTGACGAGGAGGCGCGTGGTATGACTTGGTTTTGCCTGGAATCGAAAGCGGGGTAGGTAATTCACGCTCTGAAGATCGTTGTGCACAAGTTGCCGTGACTGGTGCACAGTGAGATCATCCTTCGGTGCTGCCAGGCAGCATGTCTGAGGTAATAACCTTCAAGAACTCATGGCTGCTTGGAGACCAGAGCCGCTTCAGTTGCTACTGCTGCTTCGCCTGCATTCCATTCTGCGCCATTGGAAGTTACCTCAGAGCAGCGGCGCCCTGCAGACGCCCGACCCGCCCGACCAACTCAACACTCGACACACTACCTGATCGAGCGCAACTGCTACAGCAGCTCATGGTCATCAGCTTGGCGTCCTGTCGTCGAAAGCGGTCCAGTCGGGGCGTTGACCTAAGGAACCCTAAATAAGGAACGGGGCCCCATTCTCCCATAAGTTGAACTTCGATTTCCCATGGAACACCTCAGGAAACCAGAAGGCAAACTGTCGAACAATCAAGGAACACCGAGCCCCTCGCAAACAAAAGGGTTCCTTCTTCAGGGCCCCGGCTGTATCATACGTCTAGAAACGCTGCCTTCTTTGTAATGTGATGATGCGTGGTCAGTTGCAGATTTGCTCTCTTCTACCTGCACGCGATCCCTGCGATGCGTGTGCGAAACGCCTTGGGGATAACCCGCCACTCTACTTACCATCAACGCCCCATCCCTCGCCTACGTTTAGGTCGGGCATGTCCCCCTACAGGCGGTTTTTTGACGAAGCATGAAAAATAAGGACAACTTATCAAAAATGACACAGAATAGTCGAAACAACGTCCACACACTATGTTTGACTATTTGGGAGCATTCCTCCTGTAGAGGGACAGGCCCGGTTGAAGCCTACGTGCTTGAGGCCTGCTGGGAGGGAGGTCGCAAGCGCGTAGCACTCGAGGGCTTTGGCAAGGGAGATGCACGGACGACCCCCGCAGCAGAGGTCGGAAGCTGGGCGAAGGCTGGCCAATCCTTGGCTGCTTGAGCGGTCTTCCTGGGAGAAAAAAACATATTCCCGGAAAAATCTCAGCGCGCGAAATAATAAGCAGGCTGCTCCCCGGAAGAGAGCAAACAACTTCCCGGAGCTCAGTTGCCCGGCTTCTCAAAAGGAATGCTCTAGGCGGCACGTTCGGCGCCCCTCCCGTGGCATTGCGCAAAGCATGGGGGGCACAGGTGCGCTCGCGTACCGTCTCTCGGGGGCAGAAGAGAGTACCAATACCCCTGCTTCGCGGAGCTCTGCCGGGGCGCGTTCTGACCAGGATTCCGCTGCGAATCCAGCGGTAGCGGGGAGGGGCCTCCTATGAAAGGGAAGCGGCAGCGGTGTTTTTTTTTCCTCCTCTGATAGTGAAACACAGAAGAAATTTCACCCCGATTGCCCCGTCCAGGCGGCGCCCATCTGCAGTGTCCGTCGGGAGAGGCTCGAGACTCCCTGGGCTGGCAGAGGCATTGTGGACACCCTGGCTGGAGGTGGTCCCACTGGTGGTGGTATGTTCCATGGTATTTGTGCCATGACGCGTTTGTGTGTGGCATTCCTCCGCGCAACTCCTCCGGGAGTCTCAAGCCGCCGCGCTGCCGACGAAGAGCTTCAAGCTCTGAGCCGGGCCTCTTCACCTCCCCCTCTGCGACCTGCCTCTGCGCTCAATTCGCGTTCGCTTTCGTGCCCTGGCAGACGCCCGACCGCCACGTGATCGCCCCGCGGCCACTGAGCCAACAGGTCTGCTTGGCGTCCGTTGCCGTCGGCGGAGGCGGCAGCCTCGTCGTCGCGAGCCCACGCGGCTCGGAAGACTTGCCAGGACGGTGCCAGGAAGGGACCTCGAGCAGGGAGAGCGCACGCGGGCCGGGAGGCGTCTATGGCCAGCGTTCGCCGGCTGGCCGTCGGCACGGCCAGTGTTAGGGGACCGGCCAGTGACATAAACATAAAAACTCGGAGGTCCGCGCGGATTTCTTGGATCGGCGCTGGGGCCCCCTGGCGGCGCCTCCGGCGCCGCCCCTGGCGCGTTCCGCGCGCCAGGGAGGGGGGGTCGAGCGCCGATCCGAGAAATCCGCGCGGACCTCCGAGTTTTTGTGTCTATGTCATTGCTTGTTCCCCTAAGTGTACGCGAGCGCACGGACAAACATGAGCTGCTGCAACTCACACTCCGAATTCGGCGGCCCGTGTCCTGAGCAGCAGGTGACGCCGATGCTCCGGCGGCGCACGACCGGCGTGACGATCTGCCACGGGAGGTGGACGGCCTGCAGGCACGGGCCTCCTCCACTTCAGCCTCGTCCACTGCCTGCCTCCCCTCCAGAGCCAGCCTCGAACCTATCCCTACAGGCCTCGGAAAAAAATAGCGAACACTCATGTCACATTCATCTGTCAACGCCTCCCCCTCCCCCCAATGTTCCAAGTTGGCGGTGGGTCTGATGAGTTGCACCTCGACCGCAGTCTCCCCCGCGCGTGCCAACTTTGAATTTGGGGGGCAAGGGGGGTGTTTACTAATTGTTTTCCTTCTACCGTATCCGTGAAAACCTCAGATTCAAAAGCCAAAAAGCGACAACAATCTTAGGGATGCGCCCTCAGACACTAAGGGAACTCCCAAGATCGGCATCGAGGTAAGGCCATGTCAAGCATGGGGATAGGCATATGTCTCAGGCTGCTAACTCCAGCTGCCTCCTCCTCTCTCCTGTTGCCAATTCGCTTCTTGTTGTCCGCAGTGACCCCTCCGAGCGCAATTCGGGTCCAGGTCAAGACGCAGGACCAAACATGCGATGCTTCTGCCCCGTCGTCTGTTGAACGTCGCTTGGGCCACCAGAGACCTGATGTTCGCCCAAGACTGAGCAAACATGCTTGATCCTGTATCGCAGCAGTGGCCGGCAACGCGGTTGCACAGACCTGGTTGCCAAGCCCACTTTGTCAAGATGACCGCAGCCGTCTAAGAGGGGTGGAGTTTCTCGTCACTGGTGTTGGCGCGCCGACCCAGCTGAGCACGCGCAGCACCCTGGCATGTGACATGTGGTAAAGTCGTCCTCTTTCGCGTTTTCTCCCGCCAATCGTGATGGCATATTTTCTGAGAGATGCCACTCTTGGCATGCGGGAGACGGGTCCTGCGGAAAATGGGTCCTGGACCCCGGGGCCTGCCCCCAAGAACAATCCTTCAACCCGAATCGTTTTCGGACAATCCCGGGGCCCGTTGGGGGGCCCCGAGAGCCCGGAAACAGAAAAAACCTCAAGATCCGTTTCCCTCAGGACCCGTTTACTTCATGGCCGGCATTCGCCTGCTGCGAAATCGAATCCCGACTGGTAAAATGCCTTGTGTACTCGAGACTGCGCGCTGCTCTTGGACAGCGCACGTGCAATCGTCGAGGAGCCCCACGTGCTGCACCGGGAGTGCGGAAGGCACTAAAACCAGCCGTTCCATTAGAAAACGGTGGAGATGACGCGCGTCAGGATTGCTGCAGCCGCTCATAATCGAATCAATAGGTCGGATCGGCGATCGAAATGACTCGGATCGGCAGAAATTGGGCAGCCAAGTCGGGAGAAGCTGAACAGACAGAAGTCGGCAAGCTCGTGAAACCTCGGTCAATGAGCCGAAATCCAAATCGAAATCTGGGGACGAATCGAAGCGGAATCGGAACCAGTCGGAATCGAATCGAATCGAGTCGGAGGAGGCAAAAGGAGCCCTGCAAGGGCGTCCCTATTGGTTGCAATGGCGACCTGCCTCACCCGGGCGCCCGTATTGCAGCCAGCGGGCAAAGCGGAACCGAGCTCAGTCGAAGAAGTGGCGCCACGTGCAAAGTGCTTCATGTGTTGAGCTCTGTATGGCTGTACAACTGTTTTGGCTGCGCCAAAAGATGCATATAGTTGGCATCCGTGTTGTCTCTAAATGGCTGTATAACCTAATGATGCGTGTGCGTGCTTGTGCGAAAATTGTAAGATTCCCAGGCGAGGTCCTTCGCATAACATCCCGTGTGCCTCATGCAGACGTGAACAGAATTTCGAACGCCAGCGTTCACGCTCGGCGAAGTCGTACCGAACGTTCAAATTGAATTATTGTCATGGGACACCTCGCCTGGCGCAGCTATTCTGCTCCGGTCCGCCGCTCCGGTTTCGAATGTGGTAGCGTGTCTCGTCGAAAACGCGGTCGCCCTTGAGCAGGGACCGACCGCCCCGGTGTTCCTGCAGGCCTACCACGACGTGTTCTCAGAACCAAACCGTGCCATCAGCACAAACTGCTACAACAAGTCTGCAAAACACCAAGCCGACGTGGTAGGACGAGACCTTCCCAGCCAGAACTGTTCTAAGAACATCTCGTGCAGACCTTTGTGGCCCCGGAAACGGCAGGGCCGTTTTTTCAGCGTTTCCACAAAAATGTCCCTTGAAAGCGGAAACGGCAAAAAAACGGCGACCGGAAACGGCAAAAAAACGGCTCCAGGATTGGAACCGGAGCCGGAACCGGTCAAAAAACGGCGACGGAACCGGCAACAAAAACGGCGTCGGAACCGGCAAAAAAACGGCAAAACGGAACTGGTAAAAAAACGGCCCTGTCGTTTCCAGGGCCCACTGTAGTGCAGACCACAGCGAAGTTCTCAGAACGTGCTTCGGTGCGCCCATGGGCGAGCCGGGGCGCTTCGCTGCGGGAGGGGGGCAGAGGGTCGTGCAGCATGGTCTGCCGGCGGCCGGCCCCCGCGCGCAGCTCGCTGCAGGCTCTCGCCGGGAGGGCGGCGCTGGCTCGCGCCAGACAAGCTCATACTCGCCATCGCTCGGACGTCCATTTCCCGTGCAATTTTCGGTTTCGTGCGAATCTTTTTGTTTTTGTTGCTCGATGGTCCAGGATCGTCCTCAATGGTTCTCGCCGAGAAAAAATGCACACGTCCGAGCGATGCCAGGCATGCCCAGGCACCAGCATTCACAAGAACTCGCTCCAGGAAAGGAGATGCACACGTGCATCCCCGCGTCGGATACTTCTGACGCCCCCCTGCGGCGTATCAGCTCGGCCTCACCCGTGGAACACCCGCCGGATGCTCTCACGGCGGCCCTGGAGAGACCACCAAAAACATTGACCCCCTTCGGCTTTCCAAATTGGCAGCGAAGCTGGGCTGCGCTGGTTTTGCCCTGCTCGCGCGACGTCTGGTGCAAGGCTGCTGTGCTGTGCCTCCTGCCTCGTCCAGGCTCGGCCCCGCTCCTGCTGCTCCTCCGTCTCGTCCCCCCTCGTCTTCTGCCCTCCCCCATGTTCTCTCTGCTTCCCCATCCCCCATAACCGTCTCCTCGTTATTCTCCTCCTCTTCCTCTGTGCCCACTCTTGATTCCTACTCCGTCATGTCCTCCTGCTCCTCCTCCTCCTCCTCCTCCTCCTCCTCTTCCTCCTCCTCCTCATCTACCTCCTCCCCCTCCTCCTCCTGCTCCTCCTGCTCCTCCTCCTCCTCCCTACGCTCTCTCCACTGTTCCCTCGTCATCCTGATGCACTCAATCTGTGAGAAAGCGTCCCGCCGAGCTGAAGAAGAGAAAGAGGTAGAGCGAGAAGGAGGATACTAGGGAATGGAGTAGGCTGCAGACGGCGAGATGGAAACCACATAAACAAACGACAGGGCGGGGTCTGAGAATGCAAACCATGGCTCTTGCTCCGCATCCTCCCAACCCAAAAGCTTCTGTGAAAAATGAATCCCCTGAACGACTGAGCCATACCCGTAACGCAAAGAACGACATCGTGACAACAGAAACAGGGGGCCACAATCGGCTCCGAGAGGAACGGGTTGAGGAACGGGCCGGGGAAGGAGTAGTCCTTTAAATTCGCGCCGAGCTCGCGCTGCATGCCTGGGCGGCTTCCAGCGAACTCAAACTCCCCTCACCATCCATTTGCGGCGCCAACCTTTCCCTCTCCATTGACCCTGCTGTTGCTCCACAGCTTGGGCGAAGCACGGCCGATCAAAGCATCGACAGCGCGCCGTCGAAGACGATGACGCGGGGATGAAGGGGAGCGGTCAGGAGATTTGAGGTACTTCTCTGGCGAGCCCGCCGATCACAATCAAGACCTTGCCGCGAACAGATTCTGGGCCAACGCCTGGGTGGTAGAGTCAGACCACCACTGTACTACCATACAGAACCAAAACAATAACAACATGCACTATCGGGGACGCACTGACCCGGATCAGTGCAAGCCCAGGCATGTCAGGCTCTGCAAGGTGCTGCAAAATCCTCCAGGACACTGCAAGATCCTGCACGCAAGCCCAGGTCGGTGCAACCCTGGCTCTGCACGATCCTGCAAGATCTGGCGCTCTGGCTGACCCCCCTTTGCACTGCCCCCCGTCCCCTGAGCCCGACACTGTAGACCCCAAACCCGTCATGGGCGCACGAAGAACGCCGGAAGAAAGACCGTGGACGGACCTTCAGGAACAGCGAGCCACTTCCGAGCCCGAGCTGCTCGTCATTTCAACGCCTCGGCTGCAACCTCGCTGGGCGGCCCCCCCCATCATGTCGGAGGGTGGCCCCGTGCGAACGGGGCACCCTCTCCGCCATCTTACACCTGGGCCCCGGATGGATAGAACCTTGGGATCCGTGGGGACCAGTGTGCACTCATGAATATGTGATGTGAGTGAGTGCAGCACGCGAGCAGATTGAGAGGTTTCCCCCCTCCCTCCCTCCCTTCCTCCCCACCCCGCCCTTCCCTTGTCTCGAGTGGTCCGATGAGAGCGCGGCCATCAGCAGTTCGCGGGGCACGCGCGCCGAGCAGTCTCTCTGCGAGGGGTGTTTTTTGACCTGCATGGGCATGCGTTCTGTCTCACTATCTTCACGCTCCGTCCCCATCAATGGGGCGGGCGGCTCTTGTTGTCGCCCAGCTGGACTCGCTTGACTGCTTGCTGATAGTCGGCTCATCGGACACCCGTTTGGTGTGTGAGGGTTGCGCTGAGTCGTGCTGATCCACTTCTCTTGCACGTCGATGCCCGTGCCGCGAGTGCGGACCGCGTCCGGGGACACACCTCGCCGTACTTCCTTAGCCTCTGATGAGCCTCCGCCCGATGATGGTTGCGCTCGTCAACAAAGGAACTGAATAAGCACGTCAATTTTCGGAGGTCGGCTCGGATTCCTCGGGCCCCCCTGGCGGCGCCTCCGAAGCCGCCCCTAGTGCTCTTCGCGTGCAAGGGCAAAAGGTCGAGCACCAACACTGGTAGTTAATCCGCGCGGACCCTCACAAATGTGTGTTTATGCCTGCTTCGTCGAGCTCAGAGAGTGGAGAGCGTGGATGCCTCCAACGCGCAAGTCTTGCTCTAAAACAGGCAACACGGCCAAAACGCACGCCCAAGGATTTGCAACCCGTGCTCGGAGGCAACGCATGCCCCAAATTCCTGAGCAAACAAAACATGGCCCGTCTAGGATAAGCCTACCACTCCGTGCGGGCAATGAAAATGCGCTCCCAACACCCCCACACCCATGAGGGAACAGAAACTTGAAGAGGAGAAGGTGAAAAGCTACTTGAAAGCGCCCGACCGAATCCAATCTTGGCGCGCTTCATTTTTCCACTGGCTGCATTGGCTGTTCATTGGCGATGGGCCGCAATGGCGCGAGGGCCCTGTGGGGAAATGATCGGCCACACGCAGAAAAAGGGGGTAGGGGGAGGGGGGAAGGCTTCTTAGAGGCACCCCTGCTCCTGAGACGGCGCGGGCCTTCTCTAGAGCTGCAAGGCAGGCGCCCTCTAAGAAGCAGACTCCTTCCAAGAAGCCTTCCCCCCTCCCCCTACCCCCTTGTGCGCGCCGCCAAAATTCGGCGGTGGACAAACCTCCCTTTAGTAGACCTCACCTTGGTGAAAACGGCCTGGGACCGAAACCGACGGACCTGGACCCGCAAAAATGACGGCCGCGACGCCCTCTCGCGAACCGAAAACGGCCAATTCCTCAATCGACGTGTCAGGGTAGGAGGTCTGTCCAACCCCGAAAAATTAGAAGGGGAAAGCGTGGTCCCCGATGGCAGCGCCAGCTCTTCGCCCGAGCAGACGGGGCGGCGCGCACTTCGCTGGCAAGCGCCGCGCTGTTCGCGCCGCCCCGGCCGCAGCAGACGCCACGCCTATAGGCTCGCACGGCCATGCTGGCTGCCCCCAGCCAACGCAAGGAAAGCTTAATCCTTGTGCCCTGGCATGCATGCTCCCTTCTATTTTGGACGCCCGAAATGGGTACGGAAAGAATGGGTACAATGCCCAACAGCAAATGCTGTCCCAAATCAGCAGCGGCCGCTGTTGGGCAGGCGGCCTTCTGTCTCGAATGGACACAGGCCGCGGCGGCGTGGACAGCGAATCCTGCTTTAAATGAACAGGAACTGCTGTTGGGCATCGTACCCATTCTTTCCGTGCCCATTTCGGGCGTCCAAGTCTATGCGCGCAACTCATCACTGGGGGGAATCAGGTGCGATCAGCGGGCGGATAACGCCAGCAGCCGCTACCCCTCGAAAAACAAACTGCGCTCTGAAACGAGGCCCAACCATCGGCCGCTACCCCTCGAAAAACAAACTGCGCTCTGAAACGAGGCCCAACCATCGGGAACCTCTGCAGGCATCGGGTGGCAGAAGCTCCCAGGACCGGGACAGCAGCTCAGCGCCGGCCGCCCAACAAAAATGCCCGCAGCGCCGCCTCCTGTGCGGCAGCCGACCGGCTGCGCGGGAGCCCCGCCGCCACCGCCCCGGCGGCCGCCCTCGGCGCGGGCGCCCGCGGAGCCGCCCTCCGAGCGGCAGCCTCCGTGGCTGCCGAGCCGCCGCGCGGCGGACCTGCCGCTCTGGGCGCCCGCCGCCGCCCCTCCGCTGCCGGCCCGAGCCCGCTCGCCGCCGCTGCCCGGCCAGGCCGCCAGGCGAGGACCTGCGCCCCCGCGGCCACCAGCGATGCCACGGCAGAGAGGGCGGCCCTCACGGGGCCCCCCGCGGCGCCCTGCGGCGCCAGGGCGCGCCGGGCCGCCGCGGGCGGACTGGCGGCAGCAGCGGCCGGGGTCGACAAGAGCAGCGTCCGCAGCTGCTGGCTCTGCCAGGCCGCTGACACTGGCCTTGGCGCCCACAGCGCCAGCGCCTCGCCGCTGCGCAGCGGGCGTCGCGGCAGCGCCGCTGGAGCTGCGAGAGCCGCAGCGGCCACTGCCTGCCGGCGGCTGGCAGCTGCCCAGGCGCTGTTGTTGCGCGTGCGGCTGCTGCGCGGCGCCATTGCCTGGCTGGAGCGCCGCCGCCAGCTGGCAAAAGAGGCTGCTCAAGACTGCGCCCCGGCTGGGGGCATCAGAACATGTTTGGGCCGAAGTGGGAATGAGTATTCGTCTGGAGATCCGCCGACCACGTACATCCGTCCGTCCACTCATCCCGACACGCCTGGCGATCCCACGTGCAGGTGTGGCCGCAGTCTGGCCTTTGGTCAGGCTTGAGCCCGAGGCTTCCCAAGATGCTCCGAGGGGAGGGGCCCCCACTGAAGCCGCCAGAAAGCGCGTCGACTCTACCGAAGCCCCTGGAGGCCATTAGATGTTCCAGAATTTTTGCGCGCACCTTCTACCGAGCACACTGCGGCCAGGGCGCATGAACAAACAAGGATGCCTCTACGTGCTGATATTGCTGCGAACGCAGCTGCTCCTAGTGTTGCTGCTGCAATTGTGTCTGCTGCTTCTGGGGGTACTATATTGCACCCACGTGATGCCATGCAAATACTCCCGGTACGACTGCACGTCTACGTCTGGTGCACACTTCGCCGTCGATGCTCCTGGTGGATACAAGAGTTTCTACCACTGCAGCTACTACTGTTCCTTCCTTCTGCTGGTGCTACTGCTGCATCTCCTTCTGGTTCTGGCACTGCCGATGCGGTGGCCACTGCCCGTGCTCGACTAGCGCCAGTACTACAATCCAGTGAACATGTTTCGGACATGCTTTTTTGATCGCATCCGAACATATCGGAAACGCACAAGCACGCACGCGCACACGCACACGCGCGCGTGCGCGGACGCGCACGCGCATGCACTTCTTGGGCTCGGGCTCGGGCTCGGAATCGAGCTCGGTCTCAAGCCCGCGCTCGGTTTCGGTCTGGGGGTCGAGCTCGCGACCGCACCTGCAAACGAACAAACGCGCGCACACGCACTCGCACACGCACGCACGGACACGCACAACCGCGCGCACGCGCACGCGCACGCGCACGCGCAGACACGCGCGCTCAGGATCGGGCTCGGGCTCGGGCTCTCCCGGGCTAGCGCGCGCGCGCGCGAATTGCCCCTGTTTGGGAGTGAGGCCTGACGACAGAGCTGAGACCCTCCCCTCGGGCCCCATCGCATCCACAACCCTGCTCGCATTACAGTTTGAACGCTCTAAGCTGGGTGAGGTTAATTGTGTCTGTGTCTTTTTCCCCCCTGAGGAACGAAGGGGGGGGATAGCAAAGGGTAGGGTGGAGAATCAGCTCACGCAGCTGATTCTCCCAGCGCCTCCCAGCGCCGGGAGGCACCCATGTATCGAGGATTGGCCTGGCGGCGGGGCCGAAACCAGCTGCATGCACCAGAATTCGTACCCCCCCCTTTCCCTACCCCCCCCCCTCCCTTTCGTTCGGCCCGACAGGATCGCGCCGCATCGGTGATGCATTGCCGATGCATCCGCGATACGTCGCTGGTGTATCGGCGACGCTGGCGCGGAACAAATCGAGCTCCACATCGAGCCGCATCGCCCGGGGGAAGAGCGGATGAAGGGGGTGAGGGTGGGACGCGCACTATGATGAGTAAGGAAAGTGCCCCTAACCCTCTTGGGGAGGGACGTGAGGTAGGAGAGCCAGAAACACGAGGGGCGGGGGGTCTTTGCTGCAGATGCATCAGGCCAAGCTCCCAACTGGATCATCCCTAGTGCGAAGACGGGGACCTCAGTCAGGCAACGTCTTCATGCATCGTTTTATTCGGAATAAGGGGTTCTATTGTTCTCGGGAAAACTCGAACATACTATCGCAATGGAGCTTCAATTCAACAAATCTAGCAACTACGATGAGCTCTGCGCGATGCTTGTACGCAGCTTGGCCTCACTAGAGACGCAGGTGGCCTATCGGCCACCACCCGCGCTGCCCCACACCAGGCGGCCCCAACAATTTGGCGCGCAGACGTGAGGGTGGGGAGATGGGGAGCTTCCTGGATCGCCAGCCCGTGCTCAGGCCATATCCCAAGGCGTCCCCCAGAGGCTCAGGAGGGGGGCGGGGTCTGACGGCGATAAGCAGAGCGATGGGCGGAAGGCGCCCCGTCATCTTAGGTCTTGGGCGCGAGGACGCGCAACAGGACCGAGTCTCATCTCAACTCTTCTGACCCGTTTCTCCTCGTAGGCCTGGAGCGACATGATCGGGAATCGTTCGTGGCATTTGGGAGCAGTCCTCTGTTCCTCCTCGAATTTCTTTGTGGGCCCTGGAAGCGGCAAGACATGTTTTGCCCTTTCTGAGAAAACGAGCTTCTTGAACGTAGAATCGGAGACACAAAACCGCTCACTGAAACGGAAAGAAGCACGCCACGCCAGAGTAAGAACCGGACCCGGAACCGCAACGGCCGCGCTGTTTCCAAGGCGCACGAAACACCCGATCCCCTCCGATCCCGTCCCTCCCACTCCCTCCTCGTCCACATCCCCTCCACCCTCTTCCTCCCCCTCCTCCTCCCCTCTCATACACTCCTCGGGTTTCCGAGCCCGCCTCGTGTCCGTGTGCCTGTTTCTGCTTGGTTCGGTGGGCCTCCTGCCTCATTGGGGCAGTCTCGAGCAGTCCTCTCGTGGGGTCGTCGGAGGCGTTGCATCGGCTCTGGCTGGGCCCCGGCCCCAACGACATGCCGATCTTCAGACATTTTTGTTTCTTCCCCGCTGTTGCCCCTCTGTTCTGTTTTGGTCCGCGCTCACCAGAGGCTTGTCAGAGCGATGGCCTCGAAGGAGGCTGCACGCGGAGCGATGGAGTTCCAATGAACTTACCACCCCGCCTTTGCCTCTCGCCAGCGCCGCCAGCCCCCGCGACCGAATTCCCCCCCGGGATTGAGGCAGGGCCCTCGGAGGCCGTTGGACCCAGGATCCCTCAACGGAATACCAGACCAGAGCCGAAACGAAGGCCGCCAGCGGCTCGAAAGGAAAACAGGCGCTGGGTGAGGCAAGGCGTGACTGAGAGGGCATCGGAACTCCCAAGAGCGCTCTTCCACGACTCCCTCTCTGGCCCCGCCGAAAGCTCTAAAACGCTAGGCCACATCGTAGGCCAGCAGGTTTCCCAAAAACTCCAGCCTCTGTAGGCCAGCGTCGGGAAACTCCATCTCACTTAAACCCTGCTGGCCTTCAGAGATATAAATGCGCGCTGTGGCAGTGTCTTGCCACCTGCCCCTCTCTAGGGTTGCGGACATATTCTTAGCACGTCTCAAAAATATGTGGCCCCGCCTCGCCTGAGACGATAAGGCTTGAATCGAAACTGCTGGCGGCTCACTGCCGTGCACAAGTGTTCGAATTGAACTCTGAAGTCCTCCACGCTGGAGGACATCATTAACTGATCAGATGGCAGATGACGCAACAGGAATGCAACCCAAACCGCCGAGGCATCATCGACCACAACGGACTCGTGGCGATGGAAGCGCAACCCGCTCGTTCTGATCGGCAACACAATGAGAAGTCTAGTGTTAGCCTGATCGATAGCAACCTGCCAGCGGCGCAGAGTGATCATCTCGGTGGTCCTTAGGAAGCCGGCGAACCCGATCACGAGCAAAGCGGCTACATCGTTGCGGCCCCAACCTCGCGCTGTGGCCGCCATTGCTGCGAGCACCACCTCAGACAACGGCAGGACCCGCTGCGGCAACTCGAGATTCTGCCAGGCCCGCAGCAGTCTCCACGAGGCTGGCAAAATGCGCTTCTTTCTCAAGAGAAATTGCATCGCGGACAGCGTGTTGCCAGCTAGACCCTGAGGATGGTCCTCGGTCCATAGCCACTCGATCCACTATGCCACCAGAAGGTCAAGTTGGTCTATGTGATCAGCGCCTCCTGACCAAGAGAGGCCGCGGCTGGAGACCCATTCCGAAAATTGTCCCACTGCGTGCGAGGCTGCACCAAGTCAGGTGAGAGACGCCCCACTGCAGCTCGAAGAAGGCGACGTGTGGTTTGATCCTGGGCTGCTCTGAATCTTCTGTCACCTCGCGAAGGAATGGCACTAAGTGACTGCCACCGCCGCTCCCCTAGACGGATTGTCCGCGGGGTTGCGGTCGGTCTCCGTGCAGCCGTTCACTGGTCGAATGAGAGCAGCCAAGATAAGGGCACCAATACGTCGCACGGTGATATGCAGTAACTTAAGAAGACGAACGACCTCGCGTGATCACTCCGAGGCCAGCTTGTGAGTCCATCAAATGACAGAAACGGGTGCGCAGGTGATGAGACGATCGAAATCTCCATCTCAAGGCTCCCAACCTAGCCCGAACTTCGGGATCTGTAATGTGTGATGCCTGCGTCCAGTCCCAAATAGCAGTAGCCTTCCAAGTCCATCGGGCAACGCTCACGCGGCGCCGCGGCCAGAGATCCAGTCTCATGGCTTCGAATCTGTCGAGCCTGATGTCGCTCCCGCGCGCCTCAGCACGACGGGCCAACTCCTTCACGATCGCGATGCTCGGGTTGCTGGCAGCGCTCTCATCTTCCAAATTGTGCAGGCGAACAATGACTCCGTCCTCAAGCTCAAACTTGTGCATGTTGACGCTGGAGTCGGCTATCGTGGCACCACCTCCGACTCGCGCATCAGGCTGACGGAGGCACCTGGGGCAGGTAGCCAGCCTTCACCGCGCGACATGACCCAGGCAACCACGGCACACTGGAAGCTATCGCCCAGCAGGGCGCACCGGCATGTCTCCAGATCTGTTTTCTCTAGCTTGCGTGCCCTGGTCACCCGAGCGGTGATAGTGCCCTGGAGGGAAATCTCTCGAGCTCTCTCTCTCTCGGTACTGTTCGGGGTCTTCGGGTGCCGCTAGGCTCCTCGATACAGTTGGCGTCCTGGAACTGACATGGCTCGTAGCACTCGTTGAAATCCTGCCACCTTCGGAACTCCGCCTGAGAACATCGTTGGAGACCTGTGGGATACTTCCTAGGAGCTCGACGAGGTATGCACCGTAAAAAGGTAGGTAACCAGAAATCGTATTCAACGTCCCCATGCCACTTCAAGCCACTGCTCAACCAGCGACTGACTGGGCCAGGACCACCAAGAATAAT